GGTGGGGGGTGAGGGAGGAGGGAAGTGGCAGTGGGCGGAAGTGCAGGGCCTTGAGGCCAGGGCCAGCTGGAAACCACAGGGGCTGGGTTGGTTCCTGCTGTGATCTGCAGCCCCAGCACTGAAGCCAGGAACTGCATGCTGCCCTCCAGGATGGCCAGCTCTGTGCCCTCTCCCAAATGCCACATCCACACACATGGACACACACACACACACACACACAGCCCCACATACACACACCCACAGCAACCAAAAAAACCCCCGTACCCACCCACCCATGCCCACAACATACAAGAGTAAGACTTCATTTTGAGCTATTATGCAGTCATCTCTATACACAACAAAACACACACAAATCAGAACAAAAAAAATTGGAAATAAAATGTATATTTTAGTACACAATTTAGTTTGGGTTTTTTTCCCCAGTTGGAAGATGTTACTTTTAAAATACCAACTGCTAAATCAAAAAGCGAGACTTTATAAAGGGGGATAAGGCAAGGTACTGTGTTTATTGATTACATGAGTTAGACGGAAGTTTGGACACAGCATTCATACAAACACACACAAATCATTATATACATTATTATACACAGGCACGCACATACACAAAACAACCATTCCATCTGCACATGCACCAGATATAGTTACCAGAAATAGTTGCTTAATATCAGCCCAGGGTGGCCAACCCTGGTCTTGTTGAATAGATGATGATGTTTTGAAGATTGCAGCTTGGAGCAGGGTGAAGAGATGCATCTGCACTCCTGTGAAACAGCAGTAGAGAAAAGACTCACCCAACTTGGCATTTTCAAAGCCTTCTTTTATAAAAATTAGCATCATTTGTTTCAGTGCTTTGGGGTTTTTCCATACCCAACTTCTGTTTTTGCAGTTCTTTTGTCTTCAGCTTATCTCAGCCTTAAAGTGTTCTTGCTGCCCATCTGGCAGAATGAGTGCATTGCTTCTCCTCATTATCTTTCTTATGCCTTAGGCCTAAAAGAAATTCTTCAGCCATTCATTAATTAGTTCACTAACTGGTAACTTACATTTGGCCCCTTGTTGCTTACATAAATGGTTAAATCTTCTTCTCCCATCTCTATGCCATTCTCTCACCATGCACCCTTTTATACACACTCAGACATAAAGACTATGCAAAGTTCATTCACTTATGTGAAGCAGAAAAATACAAAATAAAGTTTTCAAGTTGCTTGCAGAACAAAACTAACATGGTTACATTTCACTATTATTGCACGCTAAGTTAACATCAGCTACATTAGTTCAGTTCCTGCTACAAAGATGGTAACCTCCCCCTTCCCTCGCCCCAGGTTATTTCCAGGGCAAGGAGAGGGATGTCCAGTGGCAAAGGTCAGGGGTTAGGGGCAGGACTTCCAATCTCAAGGTGGTGACCAGGGGGCGGGGCACTGGTTGAGGGGTTGGGCTACCCTTGTGGCCCTCGACAGCTCACCAAAACTCATTAAGTGGCTCTCCAGCCAAAATAATTATCCACCCCTGCCTTACACTGAGCCGCACAAATGCTACTTGGAGCCATCACATGCTTAGTTTAGAAACCTTCCCTGACTGTCCCCCACCTGCACAACCAACTTGCCACTAGAGGCCTGGTGAGCATAGGCAGAACTTGAAGCTGTAGCTGTGAATTGCCACTAGAGGGCTAGTGCACCAAGATAGGCTTCTATCTCTGTTCTATGGGCAGGGTTATGAGAGATCCTGGGATACTGGAGCACTTCAACTTGTGCAGCAAATCTGTGGCCTCACGTTAACTGGAACAGGAGATCGGTAGTGCAGATTATAAATAATCCTGCCCTGGAGTGGCATAATTTTGAGCTGCATAACAAGTGCTTAGACCAACTTTAAAGTGTTAACGTGTAGATAATACACGTGTTAAGAGCTGCATGAGCTACTCAAATTACTGTGTAACAAGACCCTATAATGCCAGCTGGGAATCTGGTGCATTGCATTCTTTTTATTGTGGACATGACATCAGTGAAGAAAGGTATACAGCATGAAATGCAGACCAAAAAGATGTGTTTGAGCTGATAATGACTATTGCTGCCAGATGATTACATAATTCTGATAGAATAAAACTTAAAAATAAGAATAAGAACGCTTTATGAAGCTGTTAGCAGGACCAAACTCTACTTCCATCTTTTCCCTGTAATTTTTGTCTCTTTTCTTTCTGTCACTTCAGCACTAATGTAAACTAGCAGGCTTGAATTCCTTGGGATTAACCATTTATTTTCTGGTTGGTGGGGGATCATGTAGAACCATTGACTCTTCTGATAGAATTGTTCTGAAAATACACCAAAAAGTGTTTCTCTTCCCTTTTCATTTTCCCCTCATTATCTTTAGGTTCCTTCATGATGGTGAACAGCTCGGGACGGGCATCTGGGCAGAAAGCTCACTTGCTGTTGCCTACCTTGAAGGAAAACGACACTCATTGTATCGACTTTCATTACTACCTGTCCAGTAGAGACCGTTCAAGCCCTGGCTCTCTGAATGTCTACGTGAAGGTTAACGGTGGACCTCAGGGCAATCCCATCTGGAATGTGTCGGGGATTGTTACAGAAGGCTGGGTGAAAGCAGAGCTTGCTATCAGCACATTCTGGCCACATTTTTATCAGGTATGCAATTGTTGTATTTTCCCCGTCCTCCCCCAATGTTTGCTCTGTTGCCAAGTTTGAGCCTGGGTTATCAATAACCAGTGTTGGCTCTGATACTTGTCCAGTATCAGAGTGCATGTTGTAATTTATCATGAGCTCATAGGCCGCTAACAAACATGGACAGCCCCTCCCCCCCGTGTTTACTTTTAGCTCAGCACGCCTCCAACCTGAGCACAGCACATGCCCAGAAGAGGAACTGCATTGGTTTGACCCAGCTCCCCTAGCGTCTAGGCAGATCACGTGCTTCAGCTGGGCTTTTTGGCATTTTTATCTAA